TGTTTTACTGCCCCCAAGTGGTCATACGGAGGAACTGCAAGGTTCAATTAGTCAAAGTAGCGTCAATGCAGAGTTGATAGCATGCTGTAACTTCCGGTAAATCCTTTCAAAATACAGTGACCAAACTGAAATGATCAAAGACGAACGAATGTAAATCATTGTGTGGTTACAGTTACAGAATACAACTACAAGTTACACATTTAGGCCTACACACATCTATAATCATGATTATTGGCGCCTGGTGGCCACAGCGAATAGCTACAACTGCTATCCACGAGCATAAAGTTAACCACAATATGATAGTAACAGCTCCGGTTTAAAACTTTCAAAATAAAACTTTTACTATAAGCATAGACGTAGTTACATAAAGCAATTTTTAAAAAAAAATTACAAAAAAAAGTTGTGACACTGTACACAACAACACATTACATAATTATTTATAAAATAAAAAAAAGTATTTTGGGTGAAATAAAATCTTTTTACAAATAATTTCGATTGTTTTGTTTTGTTTTGTTGTTTTTTAAATGATCACAAGTCTCTAAATTATTAAAGTCGACCACAAAAAAAAAACAAAACGGGATCGGAACTGTTGTTCAATGTCGATGTTTCCCCGGTGGACACTTTAGAGGAAACGCCACTCGCAGCACATCTTTACTGCGACGTTGTGAACTGACTGACAGCACATTTGTGTTTTTTTATTTTGGACGTGGCAGTAAAACACAAACAATGTCCATATTTACACCAACAAACCAAATCCGACTCACCAATGTGGCGGTGGTGAGGATGAAAAAAGGAGGGAAGCGCTTTGAAATCGCCTGCTACAAGAATAAAGTCGTGAACTGGAGAGCAGGAGCGTGAGTAACGTTACATGGTATTAAATTAAACCCAACAATTACCTTGTTTATTATCGATGAAAGCCAGCGGATATGGGCTGTTGTTGCTTTATGAATGTGTGAATGTCTTCCAGAGAGAAAGACCTGGATGAGGTTCTACAGACACACTCGGTTTTCGTTAATGTGTCCAAAGGTCAGGTGGCTAAAAAGGACGACTTGACCAAAACCTTTGGGACAGATGATCTGACAGAAATCTGCAAACAGGTGAGAAATATTTTCCTGATCAGCTCTCAGTCACACTGTATCATCATCATCATCATCAGAGGCCTGTCAGGGTTCCCACGCCTCCTGGAAAACCTGGAAATCCACCCAATATCCTGGCAATAATCCACATTGTCCTGTTCATATTTGTATTTCATCCCCTCACTCAGATCGCCTACGTGGTGCATATGTTAGAAACTTTAAGTGTTGGTTAAATAAACTGTACGACACTTCAAAACAAGTTTACCAGATGCAACGTGGAACTGACTTTTGAGTCAAAGTTCTCATATCTACATGCACACAGCGTATTAATGATTAAATGTCTTGTTGCTGTGAACACTTAACCTTCTAGAAGATGAATTTTCCGTCAAATTAAGTACATTTTACTTGATTTAAACTTGATTTGTTACTTACAAACCGCAGCTTATACGACTGTTTGTTAGCGAGTGCTGTCCTGTATTGTCAAGAAAAGCGTCCTGGGAAATAATTTATGAGAAAGAATGGGAACCCTTCCTGTACAGTGTTCATCTTCACTTCCTCACCTTTTATCTGCTGATTCATTCTTTCTGTTGTTCAGATCCTGGCCAAAGGAGAGCTCCAGGTGTCCGACAAGGAAAGGCACAGTCAGCTGGAAACCATGTTCAGGGACATCGCGACTATTGTGGCAGAGAAGTGTGTCAACCCGGAGACGAAGAGGCCGTACACAGTCAGTCTCATCGAGCGGGCGATGAAGGACATCCACTACTCTGTCAAGGCCGGAAAGAGCGCTAAACAGCAGGTGAGGAGACACGTTCGCTTTGTTTGTTCCTTTGATTATATACAACAAAAAGCTTTTTCTCATAGAATTGATTCGAGCTGCCGTCCCACAAAACACCAGAAGATTTATTTTCTTATTTTTATGTATTCCTGTGTTTATTATTATGTCGTAGAAATGTACTAACATTTTGAGACTGATTAAAATATGGAAAATGCAGCTGGTTTGATCACCACAATTCCTTTTTTTTAATAATTAAAGACGGCTATTTCCTGGAGCCAGTGTACATAAACACAATAAAATGTACATTTCCAAGCCATGTAGCTTTGAAATTGGCTGCAGCTCCCCCCAGCTAAGTGGATCCCACTGGGATTTGATTTGTGACATTCAGCACAAAAATCTATCTACGTAATCAGCGTCTCATCACCTCTTCCCAGAAACCGAGCCAGGTAGCAGCGCCTACGGACGGAGCTCCTGCTGCTCCCACCACCAGTCAATAAAGAAAGTTGCTGATCACTCGTACCTGGGCTCCATTATTGCTAATTAGCTATCGCATCATCCTGCTGTGTTTCCTTTTTCACCGGTTGCAGTAACAGTTGGCAGAGATGCATTTAACACAACACTGTGGAGATTAGTTTTATTATTGTTGGATAAAGTTCTGTGTGCAGGAGAAATCAAGCTGTCAGAGTCTTTGTGTCCTGTTAGTGTGGACTGACTGATGTGTCCCGTTGTTCCCAGGCTCTGGAAGTGATCCGGCAGCTGAAGGAGACCATGGAGATCCAGAGAGCCCACATGAGGCTGCGATTGGTGCTGCCAGCCAAGGAGGGCAAGAGGCTGAAGGAGAAGCTGAAGCCGCTCCTGCAGGTTGTGGAGAGTGAAGACTTCGATGAGGAGCTGGAAATGGTGAGGAACATTAAGGCTCTTCAGAAATCAAAGCGTGTTTGTGGGTGTGATTGAGTAATCTCTACAGTCTCTGAAAGGTATGACATAAACAAGGCTGGATTCACTGCAGTGAAGATAATCAGACAAGCAAACTCATGGTTTTTATCTCTACTGTGATATTAAAGTTGTTTTTCTAATCCTAAAATGTGTAAACTCTCTGTATGAACCCCTCCTCATCCTCAGGTGTGTCTGGTGGATCCCGGCTGCTTCAGGGAGATCGATGAGCTGATCCGCTGTGAGACTAAAGGCAGAGGTTCTCTGGAGGTTCTCAGTCTGAAGGACGTGGAGGAGGGAGAGGAGAAATTCTAGTAGCCCAACAAGTCGGGACTCTGCACCTTATCCACACTAACACACTTCACTGCGGCACACAAACAGCTCGACTCGTTGAAGAGACTCTGTTTATGAGGAGAGTCCTGCTAATTGCAGCCATTCCTGTTACTCAGCCTCTCTATGTTTAAAGGATTTATTAAAATGATTTGCCAGATTTGCATGCTGGGTGGAATGTATTTTTTAAAATAAGTTTGAGCAGGTCACCAAACCATTCAAGGCTGCATTCACAGTATTTGTTTTATTTCAGAACTTCTGGACCATTAACAGAACTTCGTCTCTGCCTTCCATCAGACTTCGTGTGCCATGTAGTCGCGCTCAATATCTCGATTTTATGGATCATTTCTTTAACCTAAATAATGTATATTTTTGTCATAATGAATGAGTTTGCTCTGTAGTAAATAAATATATAACAAAATATTTTCTTTCTTGTGAATCCACAGTGATTGTATACATCCCCAAACCCAAAATGTGTTTCAGCTTTAAAATGCAAAACTTCCAAGAGACATTTAAAGCATTTACTTCTGAAAAGGTGCTGTACAGATCAGAATACAGATTTCTAGCAATATTCTCTTGAACCATGATTTATAAAATATATTATATAAAGGAAACAATACAGTGTTTGTAAATATTACTTGAGGAGTAACTTTTTTTTTACTAATGAGATGTGGAAATTCCTTTAAGAGTTTTACATTGTTCAGCACAAACTAACATTAGAAACATATAGTTAAGAAACTCTAGTAAGTACATCTTACACTATAAGCTATGATTTTAAATAATTATCAAAAAGTGTTTTTATATGAAAAATGACAACAAGGTCTGTTGGGATGTAACTGCAGAAATATCACCAAGACCTTGAGTCATTAATAACTTTAATAATAATAATTATTAAATAATAATTAATAATACTTTTTAGGGTTTTACTAAACATTTTCATAAGAGTTCAGGTTGTACAACCATCTCTAAATCAGAAATTTGGTTTCTCTGAGTTAAAAGAAAACAGAAATCATGGTTTCAGTAATTTATTGCAAAAATAGGGAAAGTGAAGCACGAAGGAAAAATCTGAAGTTGGTCGACAGAGTGAAAAGTGCATTCTCTGTTATTGTGTTCTTTACTCTGAAGAGTGTATCGTACTGACAACTAAATATTGGTGTTCCACATGATCATTTTACAGCCTACCATGATTATCGGATGCTTCCTCTCTTTTTTTACAGAAATAAACTCAAAAATAGATTACTACAGTATATGTTTCAAAATTACCGCTCACCTTATCCAAGTGTTCTGTGCCACAAGGAGTTAAAACCTCTGTAAGTCAAATAAATGTAACAAACAAATAAATATATCTGAATCATTTGCTTTATTCCACAGTGTCCTTTTGTGCACAAGAATTCATCTCAGATGTAAACATTTTTGCCACTCTCAACAAAACAAATATGAAATTGCATTACTCTAATGTAGGGCAATGTATATGTGCAATACAGTATTAAGTTTGAAGATCAATATTAACACATTCACATTTAAGGCATTACAATGTATACGATGACTGTAATGTCTTAATGCCAGTTTAGTGTCAATAACTGCATCAAGTAAAGCAAACAGTTTCATTTTACTGTGCTATTGAATCGGGGAAATTAAGTTGAATGTTCATTCAACCTTTTGTTTTAACTCTGACTCTGAGGTAGAGACCTCATTTACAATCTAGCCGAGTGGAATTGAATAAATATATAAACACAAGATCCTAGGCACCAAGAAACACAGATAATAAGCCTAGATAAAAAGGCTGATAAAAGTAATAAAAAGCCAATTAGTAAAACATTAATTAAAGTAATTTTAAGCAACAAATCAACAAAGACCATTACAACTGGAAGTGTAATAAAATGAGATTAAAATGTTTAATTACCCTAAGTATGGAAATGAGGTAAGCATTACATTGTTCTGCATGTTATTCTAGGTTGCAGGTGCACAACGAGATCAACGGGATTTTCCAAACTCATAAAAATCAACAACCTGCAACACAGGGGCCCACATTTAAAGACAAAGTAATGCAAGCAGGCAAAGAGCCAGCAAGGGCCTTATAAATAAAAAAACACAGTGTCTATCACGCCTTACAAAGACAAAGGAACCTTATATCACAATGATGAATATTATAATTATCACCAGAATGTAAATCAGTACTAATGTATACAGCGTGTTAGCTTCAATAGAGATGGAAGAAACACAGCAAAATGCTCAGTTAAGCCAGTGCATCATTATTCAACAAGTGCAGACAGAAGTTTTCCTCTGCTGTTAAATCTACCCACAGTCATCTCACATATTAATGATCACCCAGTTTAACCACTCACACACACACGTCCCCTCAGATAGGCCCTGATCTGTGTTCATACTGGCTGTTTGTGAACGTAGTCCTGTTGATCCTGCTGAGTGGGTGATTAGCCTCCTCCTCTAGATTTGGGTACCTGCTCTCTCCAGGCTGCTGCACCTGCCTCTCACCAGTGGGGCATCTGGTGGTGAGAAACACCCCTCCGACCAGCATCAAAGCAAAGGAGATCCATCCAAGGTACAGTGCGGGGCCCCAGTCTCGTCTCAGCAGCACAACACCCTCCAGTGGCTGACTGGTGTGATGGCATGTCCAGGCTGTGGGGATCAGCAGTAGGATCCCAGACACAACAAAGAGAGTACCAGAAAACACTTTGATCTGGCCACGCAGAGGGAACCACACTGCCCCCACTGATCCAATCACCGCAGCAAAACCCCCAGCTCCGATGGCTGCCATGATCAGAGCTCTCCACATCCGAAAACTTCCAGAAAGAGACATGAGAGACTGGTAGAAGGAGCAGTGCAGGCTGCCATCGTGGGCCAAGTCCCAGTGATCCCATTCCAGCCACACCCCATCCCAGTAGGCAGGCAGAGTAGCTGTGGTGTTGTCCAGGGTGCCGCTCACCTTCCACAGAGCCAGGCAGCGAGTCAGAATGGAACAAAGCCACCCTGTGAGGCCCAGACCGAGGGCAGCGAGCTCCAGCTGCCGCTCCATAACTCCAGCCTGCCTGCTCCTCCTCTTTCACAGCAGGCCCAACTGCCTAACCAGAAACAGCTGGCAGCAGAGTGAGGTGGGGTGGGGTTTGAACTTGTGTTTGCATGTGAGAGGCACAGACAATCTGTATGTGTGTGTGTGTGTGTGTGTGTGAGTAGGTGTGTCTGTTTTGTCTGTTCATAGAGCGGAAACCAGTTCTTTGGTTCTTGGAAATAGTTTCAAAAGAATTCCAGTCTTTTAGAGAAAACAACCGTTTTATTGTGCAATGATTTTTCTGCCACTCTGTCATTTTTCTGAAAAAGAATTACTTAATCGCACTCTTGGGAAATACAGTGTTTTCACTCTGTTCTTAGAGTCCATTTCACACAGACAGGCCCAAATACACACATGCAACATAGAGTTATTGGGAGAGATGTTAGAGAGACAAGGCTGTGACAGTCAGCCACACCAAGCAGTTAGGGTTTGTTGCAGGGCGCTGCAGGTGAACTACCAGCTACCAGTCCAGACTCACCATCCTCAGCCAATAAGTTCCTACAAACTAAGAGAACTTAATTTAAAGAGGCACAAGCTCTTCCTGACATTTAAAATTTGTGTTCTCACAGTAGCAGTGACTCCCTCTGTCCTCTGTGGAGCTGCTGGGTACTTCTAGTACTACCACCTTAGTTATACTTTCTAGTTTCTACTTTGTGACCTCTTTGAAGGTTAAACCATGACAACTTTATTCCTCATTAACAGTGTTTCTAAAAAAAAAAGCAATCAGTAAGAAACTTGCACCCAGTTTCCTTTCTGAAAGCCAGCATGAGAAGCTGGGTCATTAGGAATTTCTTAACTCTTCTGTTGATAAAACTGAGATTTGCATTAAAGTGTGACTTATGATTGCATCGGGTGGATTATTTACTTACCGCTCGCTGCTCCTGATCTGATCTGAGTTTTTCCAAGTTGTCTAAAACTTGTCTGGCATCTATTTTATTCTACTGATGCATTTATTTTAAATCGCTCTGGACGGTAAACTTTAAAACCAAAATCATGAATGTAAACAGCAAAAAAAGAGAACCTTCAGTCAGTCTGTGAGAACTAAATGCACTTTGACAAAAGAATATCGTTTCTAAAATTGTTTTATTGAAAGATATTTGTTAAATGTTTTATACAATTAATTCACAATGTATCAGTTCATTCCAAACAATCAGAGGAAAATTAGGTTTGATACAAAGATAACTTTTCCTTGCCAGAGCAGTTTAAAAAGAAAAAAATACAAACACAACTTCTGGTGCTATGAAAAACTGACAAAAAAAGGAAAAGTAAAATGATTTGAATGGTGTCAGACATTGTCTCGGCTGGTGGCATTGGACCTGGCACCGGAGTACTTGACTGGATACTCTGGGCTCTCTTTGGGTGGACAGGAGCTGCAGAGGAGGGCACCACCCAGGATGAGAAGCCCAGCTGTGCCCCAGCCAATGTAAAGTGCAGCCCCCAGCTCTGTCCTCGGGGGATTGGTCGAGGGGGGGTTGTGGAAATCCCTGTGGATGGTGTTGGCAGACCAGCAGACGGGGATGAGGATGAGAACACCGGCACAAATGAAGACAATTCCAGCAGCAATGGCCACCTTTGCTTTGGCACTTGGATCCTCCACAAAGTTGGTACACTTGCCTCCCGCAATGCCCATGATGACCCCAAAGACAGCAACGATGATGGCGATGACCACAAGCGCTCTGGCAGCCTGAAGGTCCTGGGGTAGAGCAAGCAGAGAATCATAGATCTTGCACTGCATCTGTCCTGTGCTCTGCGTCACACAGTTCATCCACAAGCCTTCCCAGATGACCTGCACTGCCACAATATTTACTCCAATTAAGACTGTGACCTTCCACATTGGCAGGGCACACACAATGATGGTCCCCAGGAAACCGAGGATCGCCAGGGCAAGGCCCAGCATCTGTATTCCCATTGACACCATGATGAGGTCTTCTTTGAGTCACTTGGAACTGATCAGAAGTAGAAGAGTTGAAGGTTTCAGGAGCAGGTAACCTTAGTCTGGGTTGTAAAAGTGGGTTAAAGTAAAGACTGTGGCGCATTTCTTTTGGTGTAATATATTTTTTGAAGGTGGAGTCATCGCTGGAAAATCCCACTCCCCATACACCACATCCCACTAGCTGTTGTTGTTGTATTGCTACTCACATTCCTAACTTCAAACAAAGAAAACAATCCTTTTTCACATGACATAAACATGTGGTGCTTATTAAACATATGGTGGCAATTATAAGAGTTATGAAAGGCAGTCTTATGTAGCTGACTTCCTCTGTGGAGCTATTGGGTGGAGAAGAACAATGCCACCTAATGGAACTGCATTCAGATGTAATACTCTGTAATACAGAAAAGTGATTCAGCTGACACAGGTTTACAGTGTTTATTTTGAATTAAGATGCAAATCACACACACAAGCACACAAACTTTTTCGTATTTCAAGTATTCATTTAACTAAAAATAGTGACTAAAACAATTGATCCACTATGCATGCACATTAAGCTACAGGGATGCAAATCAATTCACTGACTTTCTTTGTGAAAGGAACTGGCAACAAAGTCATTTTTCATACGACCAAGGAAATCAATATTATGATTAATTTTGACAAATTGCAGCTATTTCACAAGTTAATTAAAGCTGTATCAAACACATGGCTAAATATATTTCCCATATATTAAGATCTAATAATAAAATAAAATAATAAAAACATCTGCAAATTGCTGACATTGACACTATTGTGGTCAGAAAACTATTGATAATGGTCAAATCCACTCACCCAAAAGAGAAATAACATATTAAAATGTTTTGCAAAGCATACTTTTTGAGTCTTTTCATATATTTAAACATGTTGCCTTTTTTAAAATATATGAACTGTAAATTATTGATACATGACCAATTGCATTATATCACACAGTTCAATACAGTGATAACTTGTTTTAAACACTGATATGTATTCCGCCCTCAGTCCTCACTTCACACATAGTTCTTGATAGCATAACTGCTGTGTGTGTTTGTCCTGGCCAGTGTGTACCCACTGGAGGCTAACCTGGCCCTCTGTGGTGGGCAGCTTGTGCACAGAATGGCCCCCCCACAGAACAGCAGCCCAGATGTCACAAAACCAATATATATGGCTGCTCCAAGTTCCCTCTTCAACACCTCAGGGACACGTGGGTTGTGGAAGTCAGTAATGATGGAGTTGGCCGTCCAGGAAACAGCAACTATGGTGGTGAGAGCCCCAAGGCAGAAGATGGCCCCAGAGCTCACCACCAAACGAGCCTTGATCCTCGGGTGACTCAAGCAGTTGGTGCAGCGTGCTCCCAGGAGGAAGATGAGGAATCCCAAACATCCCAGCACCAGGCTGATGCAGATGAGGCCGCGGGCTGCCTGAAGGTCTGGTGCCAGGTCCAGCAGGGCGTCATAAAGCTTACACTGCAGCTGACCTGTGTACTCACTGACACAGGTCATCCACAGACCTTCCCAGAACACCTGCATGACCACCAGATGGGTGCCGATGAATGCCGTCACCTTCCACATGGGCAGAGCGCAGATCAGGATGGTCCCAGCAACGCCAATCATGGACAGGCTAATACCGAGCTCCTGTAGAGCCATGGGACACAGTGCAGACTGTCTCACACCCTGGGAAACACAGACGGTGGAAAGGATTTTTAGTTTTTATTCAGAATGGACAGATTTAATCTTCCTTTTATCACATCCTGACATGTTGCTGGTGGAATTAATAAAGTTTGCTCAGTGTTTCACTGATTAATGTAAAACTGAAACATGTTCTTCTGTGTCAGGTCAACACAATGTTCATGTATGGCTTTTTATTTCAACCTACAACAAGGGATTACATCAGTCAAAGAAATATAAAACAGACAGACAGACAGACAGACAGACAGATCTGTGTTCTGTTATCAGATGTAATCACAGAAACCACAGAGGTGTTTTTCCGTAAAGCTGCAGTTGTTTCCTGTAACTGAAGTCATTGGGTAAAAATGTAGGGATTTTCTGGCCATGGAGGCAAAGTACCACTAGGTAGCAGTATATCACAAAAGACCAACACAATGACTCGGTTTATTTTCCTCTCAGTTACAAATTGCAGTTTGAGAGAAATACATTAATAAAAAGTGTTGCTGACATTTAAGGCTCAAATCTAATGTTGAATCAACTTTTTCCATCCATCTCATCTACGTGGTTATTATTGTGACCATGACACTGAAGGCCTCCTAACCTTAACGATAATTATTTGAACCCAAAATATGATTTTCCCCTAAACCTGAGACGTGTTTGTGCCGAAATATTAACCAAACATTGAAATTATAAAATAAATCAACGATTTGTAATGGTTTTTGAAGATCACTGACGCCATCCTGCCGAGACATCAGAAAACGCTTCTATGCATAGTTACAGGGCAGTTAAGGTCAGTGCATTTTGGAGGACTTGTATGATCCAGATTGTATGACACCTCTTTCTATTTATGTTTATTTGATAGTGCAGAATCATTTGGAAGTGTATTATCACTACAGATCTAACAAATCATGTTATTACTTTGTCAAAATGTTGCTCCATGACCAAAGCTAAAGAGACAGTAATGGGTGAGAACAGAAAAAAAAACAAGCTTCATTCAATGTGTGCGTTTATTTTAAGTGTCTATTAGAATAATGAATCCTATAAATCTCTTAAGTGTCTTATCTTTGAATCGTATAATAATGTCTGACCTTCACGCCCAAGCCAGACTGAGCTGAGCTACTACAAATATAACTTTAACACCTGGGATATGTTATAGTGAAAGATTCCCATAAAGTTTGGAGAATCAGTGTATCCCTTATTTATACTCATCAACATCTATCTTACTACCCTTGTTGTGCTCAGACTACAGGAAGCTGCTGTGGAGAAAAATTGGAAAGTAAACCACAGAGAAAGCAGGAAACACTTCATGGAGACATTTTTCATTTTCGAGCATTTGAAGCTAAGAGTAATGTGACGCTCCCTTCTCTCTGATCTACTGTCTGATAACATGAGAAAACACAGCACTCCCGTCAGGTTGGTGGGACTCTGAACTAAGAACGTTTTCAAATTAAAACCCTCACCCACACTGTTGAGACACTGTTGTTTTTTTGCATGTATGTAACACACATTGACAGTGACGGATGAAACTGCAGGTCATGCTTTACTAAACAGATCAGCCAACAGTTATTTAAGTCCCTGAGTCACCATGTTTGTTCTCAGGATAGTGATCTGTGATAAGTATAGCTACCTGAAAAACAGGTTCTCTCAGTGTTTAGTTTAAATAACCACAGGTGCATTTTTTGAAGCATGAGAGAAAAAACAACAACTTACAATTATAGAAAGGTCATTTATTGTGGAAAAAATAGTATCACAAATATTAAAGAGCAAAAAGATGCACAGTGCAATTACAAAATGTTGTAGTTTTCAACTGAAACCAACCACTTTCCGAAACATGTAAAACAACGTTTCTATCATTTAAACCACCCCCACATACATGTTCATTACCAAGAAATATTCAAACGAATCTCAGACAGAGCATCTTCATACATCCAAAGTGTGATTCTCTTACAAGGACAAAGTTCATATTTCCTTCATTGTGGGTTGTCTGTACTTATGTCCTTTGTCTTGATATTTCACAGCAGCTAATTAAATTCCAAACTTCAAGCAGCCATCGACCAGACTTCTCTTTGTCCCTTTAGAAATCTCAAATATACGTCTTTGGTGATGTAAAAGAGTGGACTGAATCCACTTTGCTATTTCCTCCAGACTTGTTTATGAGGTACTTCACAGAAGGGCTCTCATCCTCTTTGGGGGGGCAGCTGGCACACAGAAGCCCTCCTCCCAAGAGCAACAGTGCGCTAGCCCCCCAGCCGATGTAAAGAGAGGCCCCGAGCTCTCTTTTCTGGGCATCTACTAGCAGAGGGTTGTAGAAGTCCCTTATGATAACACTGGCAGTCCAGGAAACGGGGATGAGGCACAGGATTCCACTGATGATCAGCACAACACCTGCTGCCACTGATGCCCTAGCCTTGGCCCTCTCCTCAGGAATGAAGTTGGTGCACTTTCCACCAGCAAAAGCGATGAGGAGTCCCGCGATGCCTGTGACAATGGAAACCACGACCAGAGCCCGGGCCCCCTGGAGGTCAGTGCCCAGAGCCAGCATGGAGTCATACACCTTACACTGCATCTGGCCTGTACTCTGGACCACGCAGCTCATCCAGATGCCCTCCCATATGACCTGGGATGTCACTATGTTGTTGCCAATAAAGGCAGTGACCCGCCACATGGGTGCACCGCAGACAATGATCACCCCAATCCATCCAAAAAGGGCCATGGCACAGCCAGCCATCTGCATCCCCATGGAAGCCATCGTGTTCTCTCTCTAAGTGTCTCTGAGAGAATATTAACAGCTGATCAGGTGTTTAAATGCATCTGAAGCAGGTATGAGAATGAAGAATGGGAGGAGTGAAAGCCAAGCTATTAAGGACACATTAGAAGCTTTGCCAAAGAATACTAGCCATGCAGGATTCTTTGTGTGTCAGGACAATAAAGGTTGGGGTTTCACTCATTCTTCTGGATTGAGACGAGGATTGGGTTACACACCGGTTTTGTTGGTACTCTCAAAAAGGAGAGGATGTATGTTACAGAAAATGCACGTTTGAATGCGCACTGGAGCACAGGGAGTGTTTGAGCGTCAGCACATACAGTATCATAAACATAAGGGTCTGCAAAGAGTGAGAATTAACTTAATGAGTGCTTGAAACCAATTTGAAATAAATCACTGCTGGTTGTGAATGAAACATACTGTACATATTTTTAGAAGAAACATCTTAAACTCATCTAAATATTATCAGGGACTAAATGGAAAGAGAAATGGAAAGGCATGGCATTTAGAAGTGTATAGTACCTCCACAGATACAAGTACAGAAAGCTGTTCAATGTTGGGACATACTTATTTTAAAAAAATTAACATGAGTTATCACCAGCTATATTGTGCTTTATGGGCCATGGCCCCCTAGTCACTCACGAGATTCATTTGCATAATATGATTATATCTGATATTTTATATTAGATACAATTCATTTCAACCCCCCGCATCCAGCTTTTGGCTTTGGTGTGCCACCCCAACATTTTCAGTGGCCACACCTATTAAACATTATTGGGGACGTCACCTCTCTGCTGACTTTTGTGATCACAGAAGCAAGATGTTACAGTACAAACTTTTATCTCTTCTTATGTAGGTCCGTATTGTTGGGCATCTGTCTGTTTGACATATTTCAAAACACCTCTGTAGGTGATAAAGATATATTTGATCTTACGTTTTGCTTTCAATTTAGCTTAGTTTTATTGTTAACTTAATAAACAACTGGAATTCTTTTAGTTTGAGTTTTGTGATTTTCTTTAAACTATAAACATTATACCAAAAAGTCTGAATTGTTCTCGTAAATCTTTCGGTGCTTACAACTACTTATATGCATAACAAGCATACTATCATTTAAAAAGCTGAACATAAAGTGATACTGATCAAACCATATGATCAAATATAACAAATAAATAAAATACATTAAATCTACAGTAAAGGAAGAATATATGTTTCGCTTTTAACGATTGATTTCCTGAAACCCATTTTCAGATCATTGTTTAGTTTGTTATGAACTAGATTGCGATGCATTTGTTCCATTGTCTGACATCAGTGAGTTTGGTACACAATTAATTATCCATAACAGGTTCAGGTAGATTCTCTCTAGGGCAACTTAGGAATGCGAAACCAGGTAAAATGCAGCAACACAACAGGGTGTGTTCACATCAGTGAAACACACTCTGTTGTGTTGCTGCATCATGTTTGTGATGACATCATGTTTGTGATGAGATGTCTTCAGAACATAATAAAGAATCGGAGGACATTTCTTAGAAGTCACAAAAATGCAGTTTGAAACTGCCCTTTTGAACAACACATAGAAGCATTTTGTCATTTTGTGGATGCCCCAATCTGTCTGTGCCCTCCAAAACTCATGAAAATCACTGATGAAATATAAATACAATTTATAATGTCATGTGTCAGTTGTTTGGTTTAGTCACAAACACGACTCAGTTGGGTTTAGGGATCATCATAATTATGGGTTTGGGTTAAAGGTCCAGTGGGTAACATTTAGGAAGATCTATTGGTAGTAATGGAATATAATATTCATGTTTACATTACTGTATAATCACCTGAAAATAAGAAGCATTGTGTTTTTGTTACCTTAGAAAGAGCTGTTTATATTTACAGATGCCGTGCGTGGCCTTTCATGAAGGCTGCCATGTTGAACCGCCACATGTTTCTACACTAGCCCAGAATGGACAAACCTAATAGGGCCTCTTGTTTTGTACTTGGAAAGGGAGGGTGAAGCGAGGAAGCTGCAATCTGCAACTTCAACACTAAATTCCACTAAATCCTACACACTGGACCTTTAAAATGACTACTTTGTTAAGGTTTGTGAATAATAATAACCACTTGAATAAGGCTGAAGTGACCATATTGGGTGAATGTATCCAAACCAATATATCTTATACCTTTGTCATGTATACGTATACTTGTCCAAAAACAACACATATCAATGGGCCACATCACTGGGTGTCATAGTCTTGACAATCATTTTGACAATTATGGTTCATTTTCTGATAAATTCAGATTTGTTTGATGGAAGCAAGAGAGTTTTTTTTTTTGAGAAACACAGAATGAAGATGTGTGAAACTACAGTACCTGCAAAAAAATCTTTTAACAGCAGAATAACTGTAATGTGTTTTATATATATAAAGCTTGTATCAATCCATATTTTATTGTACAAAATATATTGTTATATATTTTATATGTAAACACAGTCCCCCTCTAAAGCAATATCTATGGGAGAAACAATTGTACAACAATGATCCCTATCTGGAAAGATCTTTATTAGGATTTGGTCAGCAGCTTAAGGGGCTGTCTGATTATCTTTCAAGATCTTCCACTCTGTATTTAGTATTTACAAATAGAAGCTGGATATGGGTATGGCTTTTAATATGTGTTGAAACTAGCACACTGTAGCAAATTCTATGAAAAGGCTTTCATTGGCAATCAACACTGTAAAACTGGCTGAACTAGTTTCACGTCTGCATGAAGAATTCATACAAACTGCTGAATGTTTTTGAATATACGCTTCTGCTTAGTTATACTTCTAGTTTCTGGCCTCTTTGAATTTTAAACCATGACCACTGTATTTACTATAAGCAGTGTTTCTAAAATAAATACAAACGTGCACCCCAGTTTCCTTTCTGAAAGCCAGCACGAGAAACTGGATTATCACTGTATTCCCTAACCCCTTTGATATGATCAAGTTAAAGAATTTCCTTTGACACATGACTCGTTGCATCATTGTATTTCGAATTATTTGAAATGTAAAATGTAACAATTACTTTACTTTAAAAGCAACACCATAAATGCAACAGCAAACAACAGAACAAACGATGTAGACTACAAAATAGGCACGAGAATCTCATTTATTAAATAGTTTTATTAAAAATTAGTGATTTCAGTAGACAAAAGAATTTTTTTTTATATTGCTATTGAACAAATATATTTGTAAAATATTTTCAACAATATATTCACAATGTGTCAGTGTACTGTACATTCCATACCAAACATTCAGAGGAAAATTAGGTTTAATACAAGCTTTATATAAAGTAACTCAGTACAGTCATTATGCTGTTGGAAGATTTTCTTGCAGGTTCTGAAGTTTCACACCACATCTTCTTTCTGTGTTTCTCATTCCTCAAGAAACAATCTCTCTTGCTTCCATCAAACTTTATCAGTTAAAGTTAATTTATCAGAAAATTGGTTCTCACTGTGTCCCTTTTCAAAAAAAGTGAGGCACAACTTGTGGTGCTCTCAGAAACTGGAAACAAAGGAGAATTACTCAAGAGAAGTAAAATAATTTGCTGTCCTTTTCAGAAGAATGGTCCTCTCAGACATAGGCTCGGCTGGTTGCATTGGACCTGGCACCGGAGTAC